GTTTTAAATTCAATTGCTTTCAGTGCAACCTAGCTATCTACAAAAATCATGAGATTCGAGGGATGAATTGTTTTTTGTTGTATAAAGTTGACCGCTTTTTCGATAGCATATACATATCTCGGCCTGAAAGACGCTACAAGTATCAGGGAGTCGGTAGGACTGCCTTAGCTGCATATCATTCGAGAAGATACCTGCTCCCGTACCGCCCTCCATCTTTGAGTCATCCGTGTAGATGGTGACTGCAGAGTTACCTGTCACAGATCCAAGCTCCCAGTTATCTCTGGTTGAATAAAGAGTGAGAATTCTGGTATTGAAATTTAGTATTGGTGTCATGTAGTCTGTAGCAGAATCTAGATTCGCCTTGACTGAGCCATGACCCATCCTTCTAATCTGCTTCAAAATTGTACGGTGTGCGTAATTAGGTGGTTTCCACATCTTAGACTCCCAAAGTCTGAGAGCACTTTAGGCAGCACAGCCAAGATGTTTAGATAATTTGTTGTTAATATATAGAAGTTTTTATAAACTAGATGTTTTTATGTAATTTCTTTTGAGTTTCTATGTCGGTATTTATTGAAAAATTAATTTACGTTTTAAAATAAAGCACCGATTTATTTTATCTTAAATAAATAATATATTATAAAATAATATTTATATTATAATATATATAAATATATTATAAAATAATATTTATATGTATTTTTTAAAATTATAATTGGTTTAAATTTATTTTAAATTCTATTCATATTAAATTTAATTAATTTTTTGTATATGTAAAGTGGTTTATTACATTTTATTAACTAAACAAATTTATATAAAAGAAATATTAAAGTTTTGGTTATATGTTCAGAACCTAGTTTTTAGAATATGGTTTGAAGTGTAAACAGGGTTTGGATAAATCATTTCAATGTAGAACATAAGTTTCGTTCCCGCTTTATTTTTACTATATCGATTTATTTTTCGACGCCATATTTTACTTTGCTTGTGGCAAGGGATTTTATTGTCGTGTTTGCTCTAAGAAACAAATAAAATCTTTTTACTAAAATTATAGAATAAGTGTTGATATATATATGAAATTGCTTGATAGCTGAAAATATATTTTTTAAATGCGAATTTTTGCATGTGAATATTGATATAATTAAAGAGTGAAAGACTCACCGGTTGGAAGCAACGTAAAAGAAAAAAGCGTATACATATAGTGCATATAACATAAGTTAACTTGATATATATATCATATCATAAAATGGAAGCAGTTCCAACAGCAGCTGTTGCACCAGTAAGTGGACCACCTGCGCCACGTGGAGGTTACAGAGGGCGCGGTGGCATGCCTATGCGCGGTTTTGACCGTGGTCGTCCAAGAGGTATCGGACGTGGCCACTTTATGGGTGGTGTTGGCCGTGTGGGGGGACCAGGTGGTATGGGTGGTCCAATGCCTCAAGGTACGTCTTCAATAAAAAATTACGCCTCTTAAAACTTATTGTTTATATTAGTTACGCATATATATACAATTAAATATAATTTGAAAAGTATATCATATATAATGATGCGGCTTGTATGTGTGATGTGTATATGTATTTTGCTTTGCTTGAATTTCTGCGAAAAGATATATAGCCCAGAGGGTACATGTCGCGTTGGGAAAAAAGTGCGCAAACTCAATAAGGCTGCATACCAAATATATAACATGCTTTAAAGCTAAGTTTTTAGAAAGCTAAATTTAATAGCTAATATAGGTTTTGTTTTCATTTCATAAAAAAAGAAGATGATTTGTTTGCTGCGGTAGTTGCTTTCTTATTAAATTATTTATTAATTAAATAGCTATCAATGTGTGTATATTTAGACCAAATATTTCTTGAATAAATTAAAGGTATGATGGCTCCCAGAGGTATGCGTATACCCAGAGGTGGTCAAGGCTACCCTGGCCGTGGTGGGTTTATGCCACGTGGAGGTGGTATGCGTGGTGGTAGACCTCCAATGTATGCACAAAGTAAGTTGATAAATTCTCAAATATTTTTTCACCACCTCATATTTAAATTTCCTGTATTTCATTACAGCTGTGAAACAACATTCAGGTGCAGACAATAACAAGACAGTATCACCAGTTCCAACCGCTACTGGAAATACTACAACTACAGCAGACGAAGAAACGTCAGTTTCAACGTCTCCAACCACAGCGGTTGGCACAGCAAGTGGAACTAACTCAATATCTGCTCCTGTTAACACAAATGGGTCAAATGGTGGTATTTCACATCCTCGTGGTCCACCCCGTGGGGGTCGTGGCGGTTTCATGAGAGGTGGCGGGCGTGGTGGCTATAATCCACATCATAGTAATGGTGTAATGCATGGGTCAATGGGCGGTGCACCTGATCATGGTGGTATGCCAATGCGTAGAGGTGGACCACCACGTGGACGTGGTGGATATGGTCAAAGCATTAACCGTTCACCTCATCATCATCAACAACACAGCGCTAACACGCAAATAGCTCCAGTACCCACATTGAAACGTGGTGCTATAGGTGGTCATCCCGGGCCAAAGCGTGGAAGATATGAAGGTATACCATATTCACAACGCCCAATGACACCAAAGTATCATCAACAACAACAACATGTTGCATCAATGCCGCCACAATCTAGCTATGCAGCTCCACCCAGCCATCATGCGCAAACACACGGGTATATATATATTTTTTTTTGAGTGCTATTAAAGTAGTGTTTTTATATATATTTTTTTATTTAATATAGACATCATGGATATGCTTCTCATGATCAAAGCCAAGCAGTAGACCCGTATGCACAGTCTTATGCTGCACCAGTTGCACAGACTACATACAATGGCTATGCGCAGAGCAGTGGTTATGCCACCCATGCACCATCAGCAGCACAATCAAGTACCAGTTATGCAAGTCATCATGGTAGTGAATATGATCAAAGTCACTATCAGAATTATAAGTAAATTTATATAAAAAAATATATACAAATTTCATTAATTTAAAAACATTTATTTAAAAGCTCTGCATATGCTGCTCAAACTGATACGCGCTATCAAAGCTATGGTCAAGATTACACACAACAATATGGAGCGCCTGCAGTTGATTACAATTCAACAGCTCAAACTGATTATACACAGCATGCAAGTCAACAAAGTTATGATGAACGCGCCTATACTGGATATGGTAAGTTATATTTTTTATTGTACAAAATTTTAATTTACTAAAAAAATTTAGAAACATAATATAATAGTAATCGTCACGAAGAGTCATTTCATTGTAGTCACAAATATATATATATATATATATATATAAAGTTTTCTTCATTTAAAAAAAAATATATACTTATCACTTTATTCTAAAGTACATACTATGTACTATACTTATATTAATATACATCAAATATTCATATACATCATACATATATATATATATTATCCATCATTATTTCAAGTAATGAAGAAAATTGTTGAACTATTTTTTTTGTTTACTTAACGGCAGTAAATGAATAAATGTTAGATATCCATATCTCTGTCTAATTTTATGTGGACTTGTCTATCGTTTTAAACCTCAAAAATAATTATATATTATAATTCATACGAGTAAAACTTGATAACATATCAAAATGAACTATATGTCTTAACTGCAAATAAAAAAAAATTCCGATATTTAGTTAATTCATTAATAAGAAACCCACGATGCATCATACATTGTTTAATAAACATCCGAAAATAATTCTAGTTTTCTAGGCACTTCGATTTAAAAACGGTTTATAGTAAAGACAACTATTTTAATTAACTTTTTCTACAATGCTATATCTCAATATTGATAAGGCTTTAAATAAAATAATTAGAAACAAAAAATAGGAAACCTATTTATCTGTGGTTACTCGTCATTTGTATAATAACTCTAGTACTAAAACCATATGTACAACATATGTACAACATACATATGAGCAGTTTTATATGTCAATTTACGTGAGAAATGGATGTTTAGTAAAAGTAGAAATAAATGTAAAAAGTGGATATCCCAGTTGGCGCTAGGTGGAGTGTATAGTTTTTGTTACTGTATTCATTGTTTAGTTTATAGCTTTAAACCTCGGTATACCGAGAAGTGAGCTATATCTGTATATACAGTTAAAAAGAAAGTGAGCTTTATAGAATAGTTAAAAAGAAAATTTTATTTGAAGACAATAGAATTTTGATTTACCAATCTTTATGACAAATATCAAATATTGCAATTAAATAATACATCAGTATATTTTCCATATAGTAATTTATGTTGTATTTTTTAATAGAAATTATGTTTTTTTTTTACATACATTTATGAAGAAACATTGACTACTAGATATATGTTCCCAATCTTTTATGTTTATCATTTTAAAATCAAGAAACCAACATGTATTTTGCAGTGTTAATTTACTACAAAGTATAGTAAAAAAAACTCGTTCCCGACTCCTTACTTTAGACAAGACCTAACCCATCATTTGTTCTTCTTTGTCTTGAAATTAATGTTATCAAAAATAATTATTTATTGTTCATTTCTTCACAATTCACTATTAACATATCTTTACTCGTTAGAATGCTTGATTTAGACATCAAAAGAGGCAATTTATATTCGTTGATTGAATATGGAACAAAATAGAGCTTGAAAACAGCAGGTCAATACATTAAAACATTCGAATTCACAATAAAGACAAAAATCTAATACCATTTCTTAACCAACACATTTTATCGATTTTGTGTAATATTTTTGACAACTAAAGAAAAGGCATACCACACTCAAGTCAATTGAGTCAATTATTATTGTCGTTTAGAATAATTCAATGGGAATAAAATATAGTATTTTGTAGACTGATAATCGCATTAAACACATCCCAACACATACCTGTATCAAATTTATAATTTATATGTATATAAACATATAGAAAGTTTTGAATTTGGTAGTAATAACTTATACGAATCGGTATACATTAAGACCGAAAAGTTTTCGGAAATTCTCATTTAAAATTCGCGCGCTTTATATTTTTCGATATTTTAAGTTTATGTAGTTTGGCAGCAATTAAGGACAATTACTATGCCAAAAATGAGCGCGATCTGTCAGACAGTTCGTTTACGGCAGCTGGTGAAACCAGTTCACCTCAGTAGTGCGTTGCGAAAAAGACAATGGAAAAAAATATTGAACAAAGAGTTTGCATCAAATTTTGTGTTTCGAACGAAATTTCGTGTGCAGAATCGTTGCGAATGCTACAAAGGCTTATGGGGAATCAGTTTTATCGAAAACTCAAGTTTATGAGTGGTACAAAGCCTTTCAGGACGGTCGTACGACCGTCGAAGACATTTCGCAACGCACTACTGAGGTGAACTGGTTTCAACAGCTGCCGTAAACGAACTGTCTGACAGATCGCGCTCATTTTTGGCATAGTAATTAAGGAAAGTGCTGCCAAACTACATAAACTTAAAATATCGAAAAATATACAGCGCGCGAATTTTAAATGAGAATTTCCGAAAACTTTTCAGTCTTAATGTATATTTCTCTCATAAATCTAATATTTTTATAAAAATAGTTAAATGAATTTGTAATATTTTTTTAAACTAAAGTTAAAATGTATTTTGTGCAAATTATTATATATCAGCCAGAATTATTTACATGAAGTTCTCATATAAATATAAAACAATGAAATGACTAAGCGTGTGTAATATGTTTTAATATAGTTTATATCATTTCATTTTTAAATCATTAAAATTTTTCCTTTTCTTGAAATAAACTCAGTTTTTTAAATAATGTATAATTTTATATAATATATAGAAATTATTTTTCATTACTTTTTTTTACACTATGGGTTTTTGCGTTATGAAATAATTCATCTTTTAAAAATTTGCTTTTTTATTTATAAAAAAAATTTATAACATTTATTCAAATTATCGGTAGCGGTACCTATATATTTTAATACATAATTATGATACTTTGTTTTAATCTATTAACAGCTTTATTTTAATCACTTTATTTATGTAGCATTTTTTGTTTAATTCAAAATCATTTAGAAACATAATATTATCGATTTTTATTTTGTTCATAATCCATATTTATTATCTGCAATCACCAAATCATTTTCCCATATCACAAATTAATGTATTTTTTAAATTCTTTCATAAAATTATGTAGTAGTTACGAAAAAAATCTTTTAATTTATTATAACTTAGAAACTTATTATGCATGATAACACAATATTAGTTAGTGATGTTCACGATCTCGACTGTTGAGCGTTTTAAGTAAAAGTACAAGTTATAGTATTATTCGCTCGCTAAAAAGTGAATAGCACTGTTGTGTTGTTTCGTTTTTAATTCTACTTAATTTTATACAAAAAAAAAAAAATATTAGCTGTAAAATAAATTCCAATTAAAAATTAATTTGTATATAAATTTGGTGCATTTTGGTCAACAAACAATGTTACAACAACACTATTTTTTATATTTGTAACGTTTGAACATTTGCAGCAATTAAACAAATTAACTACTTAATTAAATTGAATATGTATTATGGTTTTGTAATCACTAACATGTATTTTTTATTATTTTTTAGTAGTTGTCTTCAGTTTTTTTGAGATATTTAACATTAAATTAATCGTTTTAAAACCATGTACCTAATCCTCATCAACATTACTAGATCATGTCTTCCATAGTTCATAATCCTGGTATGTAATGTATAATTTTTACTTCATCTTTAATATACTTATTAATTTAACTTTTGATTATTTGTATATATATTTGCTTCCATTTTACCATTAATGCCGTTCTGAAAGTTGAAAGTGAAACTTTTTTAAGAAAGAGAAGTTGATTAAAACAATTAGATTTGTTTTCTTTTGCCTAGTCAGTTTATTAATAAAATGTATTTATAATGAACTCAATTGAAAAATAGCTTTACAAGTTATTTTCTCAATCGCCAAACTGATATTGATACTCCGATTAAGTAATACGAAAGGATTGAAAATGTTTACGTTTAAATTAACTTATCACTGTTATCATAGAAATTTACTTGAGCTTAATAAACTAATATGTTGACCTATAAATCTAGAACGAAGCATAAGATGATCTTTAAATAGGGGTCTTGCTCTTAAATACAATCTTCTCCAAACGAGATTGTCAAAATTGTACTCTATGTAGCACTTATTGCTCCGAAATAGAATTCCCAGTGCTACGCGAAAAGTACAAATAATTATGTATTAAATAAATACAATATAAAATTAAATGTTCCGCAATGCATTTTTTAAATTTAAAAGGTGCTTCGTGACTAAGAAATTCAATAACTT